GTAAATAATCGAGTCTGGACCAGACAATCCTGTGATCAACAGCATGAGCATCGATCTGCGCAATTGGGAACCGATGACATGTGTCAACCAAGTCAGCGAGCCTGACCACCAAATCCCGTTAGTCGCCTCGTACGACAAGCATAGTCGCCTTTTATGGCAAGCATGGGTTGCTGAAGACCTATTCTACCCCGGATCTTCACGGGTCCCACACCATAGTAGGTATGGTGGGATCCAGCATGGTGTATCAAGCGCGTTCTATCAACCTAAAGATCCGAGTTCGATTCTCCATAAGAGTACAGTGAGTGAGTGAGTTTGGTTTTACGCCGCTTTTAGCAAGCAATATTCCAGCAATATCACGACGGGGGACACCAGAAATGGGCTTCACACATTTTGTCCATGTGGGGACTCGAACCCGGGTCTTCGGCGTGACGAGCGAACGCTTTAACCACTAGGCTACCCCACCGCTCCCCTAAGAGTACAGAGTATGAAGCTGTAAACCTATACCCTAACAAATTATTGCCCACTCTCCTATAAATCAATTATACCTACAGACATTTAAATATACAATTTCGAGATGGAGACAATTTACTTATCCAAACAAACACATTATGTAACCGGCAGTAAACTGAAACGATGTAAAAACGTTATTTGTGAAACATAAACCTAACATCAGCCCAAGCTCTCTTTGTCGTATAGCAGTTTATATTGTTAAGTTATGAAAGACTAAACCATGTACTGAATTGCGTCTCTGTCAATCGAATTCTACTAGTAACGCGCCATGCCAAAATCGATGAGTTCGCTGTGACTATTCCGTCGTTACACCATCATTACATTGACAATACAATTTCACAACCCGTAAACCTACACATTCAAATCGATGTCATTCCACAGCACATGTGTCTAATGTGTCCTTCACTATTCATAACACAGTCAGGCCTATACTGAAAAAAGGGATATGAACAAGGTTCGACTGACGTTTTACATCGATATTTTAGCACACTTTTGACATCTGCTATTGCTCATCATGTTATACTTCAAGCTACAGGAGAGACCGAGCCCTGTGAATACTGTTCTCTAGGACCTAGTCAAAGAGACACTAAGAATCTAAAAAGTATAGTAAACTTGTGGAAAAAAATCCAGGCACACTACGGCAAGCTATATGTAGCAAGACGACGTCTTTACGGTTTCACATTTTGCCATATTTACCGGCCTTTCTTTAGGTTTTCCACGTAATGCACGTGCAATGTGTCGGAAACATGAGTAGAGACATCGACTATAAAAGCGAAACCAAATTCATCATTTCATTACGAAACTTACGACGTAAACGAAGATAAAAACGTCCGAGACTGAAAGCTATTGACCGAAATATCGTCATTGGACGTTCGGAAGCAGGTTAGTCCCAGTCTGCCGTTGCAAGACACTGAACAACGTCCAACACAGAACCATATTTCGATTATGGCATCGATATGCCTCTTCAATTCGACCCAAAATCGTCCCAGAAGTGGAATACCAAGAGTGACCACACCTGTTCATCCGGGTGTTCAACCTACGTGACCGACTTGATGCAGCAACGGACACTGTAGGACAGGTGCCTGGTCTTCGAAGAATTTCCGACCAAACCATCCGAAATCGTCTGAGAGAACCTGGAATTCGAGAAAAAAGTTGGACCTGTCCTGTCACGACTACACCGACAACAAAGTATCCAATGGTGCAACAGGGTACAGGCATGGAATCTGTGGCCACGCGTTTGGCGAAGCGTTTGGTTCAGCGATTATGAATCGCGTTTCCTCCTGCAACGACGGGATGGGGACAACGTGTCTGTCGACGTAGACACGAACATTTTGCGCCCAACTGCGTTCGAAAGGTGGAGAGATTCGGTGGAGAAGCGTCATGGTGTGGGGAAATGTCCTACAGCAGAATACGTTCACAGGTTATTGTGCTGAACAAAATCACTGCTTTCGTGTCATCGACAGTTTGTAACGTAAATGATAAAACAAGCAGTGTAAAGTCACTATTGTCCACCTTTGTACAGATACAGTGCGCAGGCAGAATAAACTGATATTTGACATGCGCTGACAAATAAATGGAACATAATTATTTTACCGATTCATAAGCAGTGACCTCCTTTTCTTTTTATATTTGGATCTGTTCATAAAGATTTAGAGTGGTTTGGCACTCTCCACAAGAATGTGTGACAAGGGGGTTAATTTCAACTGTCCAATAACCAACTTGCCTGTTATGTGGTGCAATATTCCTGCAGCGCAAGCTTTGGTATCTACACGTTCGTTCCAACAGAGGTACATTCCAACACGCTAAAGTTTCCAAGTTTTGCTCAAACGTTGTTTCATCAAGAATACAACATTCAAGGCCAGTGCATAACCTTGGTATTTAGATTCGATAACTTGCTTTATTTAATGTTATCGTTTGGAAAACGCGTTCATGACGCGTTCACTGGATTGTCGTGAGTGAACTCGATTATGTACTTACTACTCTCATATAGCTGTACATATCATACGGCTTAAATACAAACCAACAAAGAAACAAGTTGACGAATGTATTCCGCAATGGGCTACATTTATAAGCTTAAGCTTCAGTTATCTATTCATATCGTTTTCACTCATGAAGATATACGGGTTAGATCTTCGCCAACCTGTGCTTGTCGGAAGAGTGATTGACTAAGCATGCTTCTACGCCGCTTTTAGGAATATTCCAGCAATATCACAGGGTACAAGAAATGGGCGTCACACATTGTACCCATGTGTGGAATCAAACCCGGGTCTGTGGCGTGACGAGCGAAGGCTTTAACCACTAGGCTACCCCAGCGCCCCGATTGTCGGAGGAGGCGAATAATGGCTTTGGGGGGTCAGGCTAACTGATGATGAATGTCATTTTCTTTTGTGAATGAGGAAGGTAACACATTGACAGATGTTGTTCGTCTGTAGGTACATGACAACCATGGTAAAATCTGAGTCGTGTCAAAGCTAAATGAAAATGGTCTTTCAGAACCTTTAGCAACATTAATATTTTATGACCGTTTCAGTTATTTTTGGCCCGCTTTATGAAGAACTAAAGTGTGAGTGAGTTTAGTTTTACGCCGCACTCAGCAATATTCCAGCTTTATGGCGGCGGTCTGTAAATAATCGAGTCTGGACCAGACAATCCAGTGATCAACTAAATGAGCATCGATGAAGAACTAAAGAATGATGGCGACTGATCAGACAGTCACATGGCGGTATTTCAGCAATATCGTGACTATGAAAGTTGTAAATTTATAAAAGAATAAAAACAAACTTAGATAATATACTTACCTGTCTGCAATGTACAGTAAAATAATTAGAATATTACAGTTTTAAATGAAAAACTAGTATGAAAATCTAAAACATATTAACTTTGAAAAGACAATGCACTGTAACTTATACACAGACATAACTGTCATCAGACCTCATTTCGACGTTGAGACACGACACGCCTTTCAACAAAATACAAAGTGAATGACATTGCATTTGGAAACATACAATACACGCCCATCCCCTATTATCTGAGTGAGTGAGTTTAGTTTTACGCCGCACTCAGCAATATTCCAGCCATATGGCGGCAGTTTGTAAATAATCGAGTCTGGACCAAACAATCCTGTGATCAACAACATGAGCATCAACCTACACAATTGGGCACCGATGACATGTGTAAACCAACTCAGCGAGCCTGACCACCCGATCCCGTAAGTCGCCTCTTACGACAAGCATGGGTTACTGAAGATCAATTCTAGCCCGGACCTTCACGGGTACCCCGATTATCTAGTTTCGACGTAGCGTATTGTTGTTCGTAGAATTGACCACAGCTTTATGGCGGCTGGCTGTAAATAATCGACTCTACACTTGCTTGATAACGGTAATAGGATCTACACTGAAACGTCAAAAACGGTAAAGAAGTTGTCTCTCCATAAAAAGTGTTCCTCGTCGAGTCCAGACCAGACACTTCAGTGATTGACATCATGAGCATCGATCAACACAATTGGGATACGATGACATGTGTCATCAAGGTCAACGAGCCTGACCACCCGATCCCGTTAGTCGACAAGCATGGGTTGCTGAAGACGAATTCTAACCTGTGCGTCTCTTAGCAATCTGACGAAAAGGGCGGCACAAGGATATAAGCTGCATGTAGACGATTCCTAATCGTCTGCCCCGTGACACGTGTTTCAGTGCGTGGGTTTAGTTTTACGCCGATTTTAGCAATATTCCAGTAAAATCACGGCGGGGACACCAGAAATGTTCTTCACTCATTGTACCCATGTGAGGAATTGAACCCGGGTCTTCGGCGTGACGAGCCAACGCTTTAACCACTAGGCTACCCCATCGCCCGGACACGTGTTTCAGTAGCCTGGTGACCCTTTGCTGTCATCATGTTTCAGTTCGGTTTCTTAGAGCCTGGTTTCTTGTCAATCATGTACCCTTGTGGTGAACGGGGTTGACCGCCAATATCTGGACTTTGCTGGCACCAGTTCAATACTCGGTCTGCTAATCAAATACTGTGAAACACTGCACTACAACGACTTAAGATGCTCACGTGTTGCAGACGCTAGAGTTCATAAACACACAAACAAGGCATGACATTAACTAAACCACAAGGTGTGGTAAGCAGAATCAATAAGTTTAACAGAAACAATAGTCAACGAAAAGTATTCGATCTACCTTGATGGTGACAAAATCGGGAATGGCAACTGTCGGATTAGTAGAATATTTGTTAACTTTTCCTTTGTTTTAAGAATTCGAATGTAGATTTTAGATCGTGATCCCCTACGTTTTAGAGAATACATATACATCAAGTACTGAATGCTGAAATATACCTAAAACAATATACTAATAATAGTAACTAAACAAGTCAAATTCAACAGGTATTGAATTTAATACTTAAATTTATCGGAAAAACAAGTCGCCCAAACGCAGTCCCGTGCACCTTGTGTTCCTCACGTGGTTGCCCGCGGTATATATAAACGGGCATGACGCGCTCACTCAGAACACGTGCCGAATTTGAGCTGAGACAGTTGCGGTAAGATTTTGAATATTTTGTTTCTAACGAAACTAATATTTATATTGCATGAAATGAACACTTCGAATACAAAATGGAAGTGCAAGAATGAGCAAGATGAACAGTTTCTCAGAAATATTTGTCGTATCAAATGTATTTTTATAATATATTTTCATTTATGTGTGGTTTTTGCTTTTGTTTTGTAGTCCTCAAAGACGAAAATGTCCGCTCGTATGGCTATCTTGGCGATTCTTAGCTTCATGGTCAGTAAAATGTTTTTACAGCCAAAAACAGTGGTAAAATAAAAACACTTTTAAAAGCAATTGACTTTCAAATTTGCTTCAATATTTGTAGGCGGGTACATCTTGGCACGCAACATGTCATCGTATCTCAGTTGCGTACATCGGTGCTCATGTTCTTGATCACTGGACCCGTGAAGATCCGGGTTACAATTGATCTTCAGTAACTCGTGCTTGTCACAAGAGGCGACTAACGGGATCGGGTGGTCAGGCTCGCTGACTTGTTGACAAATGCCATCGTATCGTAATTGCGTAGATTGATAATCATGCTGTTGATCACTGGATTGTCTGGTCGACTCGATTATTTACAGACCAACACCATTATAGCTGGAATATTGCGTTAAACAATCGACCAACATTTTGACAATACATTAATCTTCAAGTGCAATCCAAGAGGTCACTCCAGGAGTAACGCAATTTGTTGTTCTGAGAATGACATAGGAACCGTGTAAAGCTATAATATAAAGTATCTACAGCTCGTTCAGCTTGACCTGATCAAGTGAATACTAATGCATTGCGTGACCGTGTCTAAACTGGTTGGGTCTATTATTGTGAAGGGGCGCATTGATTGTCAACATGTCCGAACAGTGGAGACAAGGTCGCCGTTTGACACCTCAATGTCGAGAAATCGTCAGCAATGTCCTAACTTTCTATAACAAAGAAGCTTCAGATGGTTTATTGTTTCCGATTCGAGCTTTTAGGCAGCGAGCAGCAACATTAATAACATGTTTTGCTCCCCTATTTAATGAAGTTAACTCGACCCGCCGTTTGTGCCATTTGCCCCCGGGTCATGCATATGTAGAGTAGCTCAGGTCAAGCTGAACAACCTGTAGAAACATTTCTCCAATTCCCGTTCAGTCACCATTGGTGACATTATGTCGGTCAGGTACCCTGAACATTATGTAATGTACATCATGGTGTTTATGGAGATACAACTCTAATATACTCAGTCAAAAAAGAAACTTCACACTCGTTTGGAGGTCGATAAGTTGAACATACATGAAAAGAGGTTTTAAATAATGATTTTATTCCATTCTGTACCCATTAAGGACGGTGTACCATAAAAATCATGTTCATAATGTAACCAGTTCCACCGGAAATGCTACGGAAATGTAAGAGAGTAAAAATGGTAAGTTACAACTTGATGAAAGCATGTCAATAGCGCGTATGCCCTCCATGAGCGTTCACAACTGCGACGCAACGTCTCCTCATGGATTGAATGATGCGTCTGAACACAGCTTGGGGATGCGTCGCCATAATTGTACCAACATGGCACCAAGTTCCTGCAAATTCTGTGGAGGGTTCCTTACTTGACGGAGTCTTCTGCCCAACACATCCCATACATGTTCTATGGGATTAAGGTCGGGAGACCTTGAGGGCCACTCCATGACATTGATGCCAGCATTCCTAAGAAAATTCCGCGTTAAATTGGCCGTATGAGGTCTGGCATTATCGTGTTGGAATGTCAGACCTGGGCCATGAGCTGCCATGAATGACAAAAGCTCTGGAAAAGCACTTGATCCCTGTATCCTGCAGCAGTTAGGTTTCCTTGAACGACAATCAGTCTGGAACGGGCAGGACCATTAAAGGCACCCCAAACCATAACACTACCACCCCCAAAACGGTCCACTTCCTGCACACAACACTGGGCGTTGCGTTCACCGCGTCTCCTCCAAACTCTAACTCTCCCATCAGCGAAGTGCAAATTGAATCTGGATTCGTCACTAAAAACGACCCTATTCCAATCACGCTGAGTCCATCTGAGATGTCGTTGTGCCCAGATCAGCCGTTGACGTCGGTGTAACTGGGTTAAAATTGGTCCACGATATGGCCGACGTGCATGGCGACGAGCAGTGCGCAGGCGATTACGTATTGTTTGGGCAGTCACACGACCTCTAAACAATTCATTCCTAGTGGACGTTGCAGTGAGAAATCGATTACGCAAATGACGTAAGACGATTTGTCGGTCTTCTGCTTGTGTCGTCACACGTGGTCTACCCGAACGAGGTCGGTCTGCTGTGGTGCCAGTTTGTTGGAGACGTGTCCGAAGATCATGGATAGTCCGTCGACTGCATCCCATAACCCTGGCAACGTCAGTGACCGACGTTCCCGTATTCAGCATGCCAATGGCACGTTCACGTTGAATGTTTGACAGTCGTGGCATTGCAAATCAACGGATAATTGACTGTAAGAACTTGTTTTTCCGAGATGTCACTCTACCGTGCTAACTTGGGCTCAATTGCACGTCTCATAAGGTCACGTGACTAGGAACACGAGAAAACATGCTTTTACCATGATGTACGCTCGCACGTGCTGCATGCCTGTGCACGTCGGAGTTGCTGTGTGTCATGATGTCTTTGACAACGCATTTACCCCTAATAATAATAATAATAAAAACTCTTGTATTTAGTTTCAAGAAAATATTTAGAAATGTATGAGTGAAGTTTCATTTTTGACTGAGTGTATGTGAGGCCGTGGAATGAAACACACGATATATAGTTTGTCAATACCAGTTCAGTGCCAAGTATTGAGCCCCCGCTCTCCACACTAAGTAAATGCAATATTTCGTTTTCGAAGTTGTGGACCTCGACAGTTATTGAGCAGTGTGAGTGTACAGATCGGAACGTGCATATATTTGGGACATTATATTGAATTTAGTACTTGGTCTTCACCACAAACTTACCCAAATGTTCATGTTTCCTAACGGTTCGGTATATTATGTGCTCAAATGAAATCTTAAAATCCCAGTTTGCCAATGCCACCAGATGAATCCCTAATCTTTTTTTAGTTTCGCCTGCATGTGGCAGTAATGGTGTCGGTGACGCCTTGGTGACGCTTGTCACCGACATGGAAACTGGAGCTAAGGCCGTCTGTGCAGGGGATAAGACGGTGAACTTCGTCTCCAGCAATGGCGTGGAATTCACGTTACCGGTGTCGTACCCAGTTGCAGGTGGGGGATCTTCCCCTTGTAAATTTGTGGTAGGTGTATTCAGTAAAGTACTTTATTTTGTAGTAGCATGCCATGAATACAAGGTCCTAAATATCTCGTGTGTTCAGCAATAGGATCAGTTACTAGCTGTATCGAGGGACGGATCTAAATCGTGCACGTTACAGCTGTCTGATGTTCATAGCAACGCCGGGGCGGTGGTTAAGGCGTTCGCTCGCCACACCGGAGACCCGGGTTCGATTCTCCACATGGGTACAATGCTAAAAGCGGTGTAAAACTTAACTCCCTCACTCATGGCAACGCCGCTATTTTATCGCTACGATCAAACTTGATCCAGCTTCTGTTGGGTTGAAAAATCTGTCTAGAGGGCGTTCATTTAGAGGAACTGTACATTGTGACTCCGTAGGTATCCTACGTTGGAACTGATGTATGCGTTACGATTTGGAAAGACGTAAATGTCACTCTTTGACGGATGGTTTGGTTTTTGCTATTCCAGTAATTTGGTCCAGAACTCGTATACGATATGATAAACTGGAAATGTGTATAAATGAGCGTATTTGTGCAACAATGGAACCATTTAGCGCTTCATGTATTCATCACTGCATCGGTTTGTAAACCATCACCGTGTAGAAGCCCCTTCACAGCTACGTTCCCGCTGTTGCATATTCCGTGGATATTGCCTGCCTTGTGTAAATCTTTCAGAACATAAACCTACTTGGTTTGGAGGGTAGGGAACAAAGGGTATATCCGTCTGTAATGGAGTTCAGTTATTTGGATGTGAGCAGTTTTTCAATGTACGTTCACTCAGACATGGAGTACAATGTGAACAAGGACAGGACTTCAATTTCTTAAACTAAATGGTGCGTTGTCAGTACTTTGACTAAAGGAAAGGGTATTTTTTTTTTACCGAAATTTCTTTTCCAACATTTGTTTTCAAATGTACTTTGCAGAAAAAGAAGGACGCACTGGTGTTCACCATCCAAGTGGAGGTGGGGTACGGTCGTCGTGGCAGTCGCCTCCACCAGCATGATGAACAATACACAATAACCTGCTCCTTTCAGCCAGGCGCCTCGAAAGAAAGTGGTTCGCTGTCTGTTAAACCCGGGTAGGTCTCATGACAGCAGTGTTTGCAATACTTTAATGTGCCAGTTGGCCATCAGGCTTTAAAATCTACAGGTCCTGAATGAAATCTGTAGGCTTTTTTTTTTTTTTTAATTTTTTTTTTAAAGTGAAACCAATACAAACAAAATAGACTACACTGTGCAGTTTCTGTTTAATTGTCATAACTAGCATAACACTGGAAATGTGGAATGACATCAAATTCAAGTAGCTAGTAAGCTACAGTACGTATGCCAAGTCAAACAGCTCCTGGTCATCAGTCACTTTACTTTTATTAAAGACTGGTGTTGACATTTCTATGTGTAAAGCGCTGAAACATCAGGAAGTGAAACTAAGCTATCTTAACATGATAGATCATGAATGATTCCTGAACGTTAATAACGAAAACAAATTATGGACAGGTACTGTAGGCCACAAGGGCCTGCAAATATTTTTGAAACTACAATATTATATTAACAACCGGCGCTGATCCTCCGGGCCGTCGATTATTTCGAACGCGGCATGGCACTCCGCCGTAGTCGGGCCATATATCGTCGCTTTTTCAATATCAGTCCGTCAGGTGTTAGTTTGTTTCCATAACTGCATCAAACTTTGAGACCGTTCGCTGAGAATTGTGGATGGATTTTACTGCTTGGGGATCTGAAATGACGCAAGCTGTGATGCTGACGGCCAAGTCTGAGGACGGAATGATTGTTTGGTCACTTCGGTTTTCTTTTGTTTTCGATATGAGAACTCACACTATTACATCAAGTTCCCGTCTTGTCACGATTTCTCTATAGGTTGTCAGTGCTATGCCTATGTTCTTGGGTATCAAAGGGATAAATGTCCAAGATCTGCTCAAACCGATTTCCTGTTTCTCTTTTATTGTGATACCCGTGAAGGTCCGGGTTAGAATGCACCTTCAGTAACCCATGCTTGTCGTAAGAGGCGACTAACGGGATCGGGTGGTCAGGCTCGCTGACTGGTTGACACATGTCATCGTATCCCAATTGCGTAGATCGATGCTCATGCTGTTGATCACTGGATTGTCTGGTCCAGACTTGATTATTTACAGACCGCCGCCATATAGCTAGAATATTGCTGAGTGCGGCGTAAAACTAAACTCTCTCACTTTCATTGTCAGATCACAGAAACTGTCGCAATCGCTCTTGGTATTGGTTTGAAACGTCGCTCACATAACTGGAATTAGGTCACAAGTCAGTTGATGTTAGGTAACGTTGGTCGCGGAGAATCCTCGTATGGGCGACATTGCTTGGCAGCTTGACTCCTACCCCACAACGAAGCACACGTGACACCTGTGGTCTCGCCTTAGGCAAGTGATTTTGTTAAAAAATTGCCTCTGTTCACCCAGCAGTGAACGGGTACCCGATGGGATAAGTCATGACTGTTTACCTTCGAGCGCCTCGGATGCAGCTTGTTATCCGGGGTAATGTTTCAGCCCCATGAGCATGCGTAGAACAGGGGCTATATAAATAGCCACTATTATTAGAATATGACGTCAGGAAGTCCACCTCTGTCCAAATGGTGAATGTTTACATGTTATGTGAAAGCATTTGTTTGACAAGTCAAATGTACTATTTTTGAAACCAATTTTGCAGATTCAAACCACCAAAAGTGATCGCCGGGAATAAGCCGCCTGTGAGTAAGTCTTCAATCCATTTGTACGTCGTTGATGTCATCGGGAGGAAACTTGGTGCCTCCGCACCAGCAGGCAAGATGGTGAGATTGAAGGCAGTCACTCTCGGTGAGTACAGAATACAAATTAAACATCTGTAAACAATTGGGTAATATCAAATTGTTTGGTTCTTGTAGCAGTTCTAGTCATGACATCGGAGTCGCGGGAATGTTTTACTGATTGTCTTGTCGCTGGGTGATCACTTGAAAATTGTGGTGTAGAATCGGCTGATTCAGGTCGTTCTATCGATTATTGACCTTTATGACGGTAGGTGAGAGGTTCAAGTCGGGTTTCCGTGTGCGCATAGTGCGTGATGCGTAGTGCGAAACCAACACTTTAAACTAAAATAGTAATAGTCGTTTCCATTTACGCGTGCTGCGTAGTGCGTGATTTTGCTTACGCTGAAAGTGTCCCAATACGCCGGAGACCGGAAGTAGGGATTCCCAAGGGGTTTCACCAATGTCACGTGGTTTTCATTGCACACACAAGTTGCAAAAATTGAATTCGGTACCAGAGATATTTCTTGAACTCGTTAGATGCAATCAAACCATCTAGGAAGGACCACAGATGTTACGAAGATCAAAAATATTTGGAATGCAATTACGAGGTAACTTCAGGAAAACGGTGACCAAGAAAGGACTGGTATTTTGTGGTGTGTAATTAATGTTATATATATTACGTCTTGATAGTCTTTATCACGTTAAGTTGCAAAGTTCCGTTTTGAATATACGTTCTTCAGAAAGCATTGAAGACAGCAATTATGATCAGTACGATCTCCAAGAAAAGACTTGATATACGCGTACACATGGAACTGGACACCACGCCGAGGAACTCGGATAAACAGTTTGTAAATTTGGGTTCAAACGATTTTCAAAAAACTCCGCCCACTCCTGCGCCAGCTACTTGACAATGTGTTGCATACTGTTATGACGAAATGTTGAACAGATTGTCCTAACTTTCTTCAGGACTAAAGGACAAAGGCCTCCGTGCCGAATCGTGCGATGCTATGAATGCGAAGGGTGGCAGGTATCCTGTTCTGAGATCGGGGTGAGTTATTCTTCTTCATAGAGATCGTCCTTGGGGTACATATTATGCATTTTCCGGCTGAAAAATGTCCTGTGACAGTTGTATCAATGTTTTTTGAATAAAAAGATTGAACAATAAATAAACTCTTTTATTTATTATACGGCCCCTACCTCACGGAGTTACCTCCCGTTGCGCATGCGCACCAACTGGGTAGGCTCCTAGACCCGTATCATCATTCCTTCTGCTGTCACTGCCATGAACAGACGTTACATGAGCCGTACAGTGTTGATGAGCTGAGCTTTCTGAGAAAAAAAAACTATGTCTGAGACACCACCTGTATGTATGGTCTTTATTTGCCTATGAAAAGGAACAGTAAAGCTTTACAGTTGGTTGTTTCATAATTGTGACTTTGTATTAATTATATTACGCGAACTTTCCCGTGGTTTACGCACGTGTTGCTCTGCCATGGCGGGAAGTTTAGCGTGCCATGTGGTCGTAATATTGCGTATTGAACCAACTATTACTTTCCGTGGTAGCCTTCACGTATTTTTCAATGTTTTCTACGTGTATATATGCTGCTGGTCCGCCGTTAGCTACATGCTTGCGTGTTTGCTTTCAGGCCTTTTCATCCTGTTCGGTCTGTGGACAGAGCATTCCACGGGCCGACAGGCATGACCAGTGCGTCGCCTGTCTAGAAAAGACTGGCCATGACGCGGACACGTGTCCGATATGTCTTGGGTTTTCCCCCCGGGCCCAAAAGCGGAGGGCGGCGGACACGCTATTTTACAAAGAGATGCGTGAGGCGGGTGGGGAACTGACGCAGGTCCCCCCGTCTAAGACTAAGAGACAGTCACGTAAGGGAAAAAAATCCCGAAGCCAAACCCCCTCTCCCGCTAGTACTGGTGGTTTTGATATGACACTAATGGACAAATTGTTTCAGCAGCATATGGACTCTGTGAAGTCCCTCGTTCGTGAGTCTGTTGGAGGTCTCCGGCAGGAGTTCCTCGCTCACTCCGGACGGGGGGCGGAGAGTCAGGGGGTGGGATCGCCGGGCTCGGCTCGATCCCTCAGCCTTGAGGCGTCTGTAGACCCGTTGCCTCTGGCTTCGGGTCCGGACGCCTCGGCTGCCCCGGAGGGGGAGGTGCTCCCAGTCCCCCTCTCGGAGTTGGCGCAGGGACCGTTGAGTATTCCTGGTGTTCCGGTCCCTGCGCACTCCCGCCCATGAGAGCGGAGGCACCAGTTCTGCCTGGTCTGCCTCCAGCGTCTCGGGACCGGGGTCCGTGCACGCTTCCAGGCGCCGACGTGGAGCGCTCTGTCTGCTCTTCCCTCTCTGTGCTTCCTAGCGCTAGGCCGCCCACCGGGTCGGGGTTAGGGTCCTCTTTCGGAGGAGACCCAGCCTCTGACTCGGGCTCGGGCGCCGAGTCAATGGAGCTTGGGGAGGTAGAGGAGCATGACGGAGGTTTCCGTTTTGCTTCGGCTCTGCGGGAGGTCCGGCAAAGAATTGCCGAGGGCCTACCCCAAGCCGCGGTGCCTGTTGGCCGCTCGGACTCGGCTGAGTTCCGCTTGCCAGGCGAGGCGTTTGCCCCTCGGCAGCCCTCGCAGACGCAGCTCCGCATTCTGCCTTCGTTGGTTCAGGACGTGGTCGAGCCCCTCTTGTCTGGTACCCGTGTTCGGTTCGACTTGCCGGATTTAGTACGGAGGTACCAACTTGGGGAGGACTCCCTGTTCGTTGTTCCCATCGTTGACGAGTGCGTGTTCACTTCCGTCGCCCTGGGGGGAGGCTCGGCTTCCTCCGGAGCAGCTCCGGCTGCTCGGCAAGGGCGCCTCACTCCACCGTTTGCCCTCGCGGGCGCCCCCCTGCAGCACGCGTACCGGACCTACGAGGAGGTCTACCGGAACGCGATGCAGCAGGTCAGGGTGGTGGTCCATGAGGCCTACCTCTCCTCGATTCAGAGGTCGGCCCTGGAGGCGGAGGGGCATGCTGGCGACGTTTCGCCGCATGTCGTGCTGCTCCGTCAGCTCTCGGAAGTTCAGGCACACCTCGCGCGCGACTCTTTGCGGTCTGCTGCGTCGACGGTGATGTGCGCAGTCATGGGGATGCGCAGGCTGTGGCTGTCGACGTCTCGGTACTCGGCAGCGACGCAGCAGACCTTGCTGGCCCTCCCTTTCCGTCTGGGAGCGACCCTCTTTCCAGGGGCCCAGCAGGTCATTCGGGAGGCTGCCGCTGCAGCTACCTCCTTCAAGGACTCTAAGGCCTTGTTGGAGCACCCGCGGGTGTCTCGCCCCCGCGCTCCCGTTCCACCTTCCTCCGCCGGGGTGCAGCCTACACCCGAGTCTGCCGGCTGGCTTCGGCCGCTTGGTAGGGGTAGGCGGAGGAGCAGGTCCGCCAAGGGTAGGGGCAAGGAGCAGTCCTCGACTAGCTCCCAGCCTTTTCGCGGGCGCGGGAGGTCTGCCCCGACCTCCCGTTAACCCATCAGGCTGCCGCTCAAGCCGTGTGTCACACCCAGTCAGCTCCGCTGCTCGGGACAACGCACGCGCTCCTACCCCATATCCCAGTGGGAGGCCGCCTCTCTCTATTCCTGCCGGAATGGGAGAAGGCTACCAACAATGCTTGGGTGCTGGCCACGGTCAGCATCGGCCATTTACCACTGTGGAAGCGAGGTCCGCCCGACTTCACCGGCATACGCCGCACTCCGGTGCCGTCATGTCAGGCAAGGGCGGACATATTGCGCGACGAAGTTCAGGCTCTGCTGGACAAGTCCGCAATCGAGCGCATTCCACCGGGAGAGGAACAGGCGGGATTTTACTCCACGTACTTCCTCGTCCCGAAGAAAGACGGCGGGTTCCGTCCCATTCTCAACCTCAAGGGGTTGAATCGCATGCTCGAAGTACCATCCTTCAAGATGGAGACACTGCGCTCGGTGATCTCATCTGTTCAGCCCGGCGATTGGCTCACGTCAATCGACCTAAAGGATGCGTATCTGCATGTGCCCATACATCCATCGTTCAAGCAGTACCTTCGGTTCTCTTACGACGGGATGTGTTACCAATTCAGGGTGCTCCCCTTCGGCATATCGACTGCCCCAAGGGTGTTCACCAAGCTCATGTTAGTCCCGGCTACCCTCGCTCGCTCGCAAGGAAGGCGTTGTTACCCTTACCTCGACGACTGGTTGCTCGGAGCACTAACACAGCCAGCGAGTCTAGATGCTACTCACACAGTGATAGACATTCTAACTCGACTGGGGTGGATAATCAACCTCAAGAAATCCGACCTGGTACCCACCCAGGACTTGGTTTTTCTTGGGCGCGATTCCAAACAAACAAGGATCTCGTTTCCTTGTCGCCCGACCGGATCACCAGAGTTCGGGAGATGGTATCTTCGTTCCTCTCCCAGCCCCAGGCACCAGCACGGACTTGGCTCCGTCTACTGGGCCATATGGCGGCGACGATCTCTGTAGTGTGGCGGGCGCGGTTGAGGATGCGTCCTATACAGCAAGCTTTGGCTCGGCTGTGGACTCACACGGAGGATCTGGAGCGCAGTCTCACAGTCCCCGAGTGGTTGACACCTCACCTTCAGTGGTGGACAAATGTCGGGAATCTCACCAGGGGGATCCCCTTGGAAATCCCGACGCCAGCTCTCACAGTTCAGACCGATGCGTCCCTCACGGGCTGGGGGGGTGTTCTGGGCAGTCTGTCGGCGTCCGGACTCTGGTCCGAAGCCGAAGCCCACCTTCACATCAACGTGTTGGAACTGAGAGCTGTGCGGTTGGTATTCGAGCGCTTCAGAGAGCATGTCCGTGGCCAGGTAGTCCGTCTTCAGTTGGACAACCAGACGGCCATGTCGTACATCCTGAAGCAGGGAGGCACGGTGTCCCCAGCGCTCCTCCGGGAGGCGTGGGACTTTCTCCTCTGGTGCGATCAGTGCGACTGTCAGGTACTCCCTGTTTATCTCCCGGGGCTGGAGAACGTGCGAGCAGATGCGCTCTCTCGCCGGATCCTGGCCCCGCACGAGTGGATGCTCGACAGGCAGATTTTCAGAGTAATCTCCCAGTTGTACGGGTCGTTCCAGGTGGATCTGTTTGCGTCCGGCGGGACGCATCAGACACCCGTGTTCTGCTCTCGGATACCGGACCCAGGGGCGTTGGCTGCCGACGCCTTCCTGCTGGATTGGACGGGCAAAGTGCTCTGGGCGTTCCCGCCGTTACCACTCATTCCCCGTGTCCTTTCACAGCTGTCCACCCAGCCAGCTCGGCTACTTGTGCTACTGGCACCGCTTTGGCCGTCACAGAGCTGGTTTCCGGTAATTCTCAGGTTTCTGGCTCAGCCTCCTGTTCTATTACCTTTACGACCGGACATTCTCACTCAGAACGGAGCGCCCCACCCAAATCCACGGATTCAGTGGGTGGCTTGGCCTCTGTCAGGTCTAACCTCGAGGCACGCGGAATTCCTGCAGCAGTTGCAGACACAATTCTGGCTTCGAGGCGGGATTCGACAAACGTTCAGTACGAGGATAGGTGGTCCCGCTATGCGCGCTGGTGTTCAGATAGGGGCATTGCAGATCCCTTTTCTGCGGATTTAGTCCGAGTATTGGAGTTTTTGCAAGCTCGTTTGGAAGAAGGCCTGGCGGCTTCGACCATTCGTGGCTACTCCACCGCTATTTCCACTTTTCACACCCCTGTCGATGGTGCTCTTCTGGGGCAGCACCCTCTCGTACAGCGCTTTCTTGCTGGCGCGGAACGGATTCGACCTGCGCTCAGGCGAACCAGTCCACCTTGGGATTTGTCAATTGTGCTAGATTGGCTGTCCGGTCCAACTTTCTCACACCTATCGGCTATTTCCATTCAGTTGTTAACTTGGAAAGCTGTTTTTCTGGTGGCGGTAACATCTGGACGTAGGGTCGGCGATTTACATGCTATGTCGTCCGACCCGGCGCTGACTGTGTTTCACACGGATCGTGTCAGTATTCGCCTCCCAGATACTTACCGACCGAAGGTCGATCACGCTTTCCATGTGACAGCTCCTATCGAACTTCCTACTCTTACCCAGCCTTCCACATCGGGGACCACTCCTACGAGCACTCACCCGTTGGATGTCCGTAAGACGCTCAAAGTCTATATCAAACGAACGCAGGGAATCCGTACGGGTACCCAGCTGTTCTGTTGTTACGGTGGCGGGAAGGCTGGTGTGCCAGCGAGCAAGCAGACTTTGTCTCGCTGGCTAGTTTCGTGTATTTGTGCCGCTTATCAGGCTAAGGGCAAGCCTCCCCCTGAGGGGTTGAAGGCTCACTCGGTCAGGGCAGTAGCCGCATCAAAAGCTTTTGCATCGGCACTCCCCATTGAAGAGATCTGCTCTGCCGCTATTTGGAGCCGGCCAAGCACGTTTATACGGCACTATCAGCTCGATACACATTCCCGTAATCGTGCGAGCTTTGGCCGTTCTGTTCTCTCCAGTGGACAGTGTCCTGCCACCCTGACCGAGTGAGTCTTGGTTTATTGGTTTGTTTTTTGACGCTGCTGTACAATAATTGCGTATTATTGACATATCTGCTACTGTGAGCTAACTACATGTACCCCCTTTCGATTCTCTCAGGAGTTATTTGTCGATTGTGAGCGGTATTTACATTCCCCCCTACGGTGCTCACTAATAGACACATGGTGGGTGGGGCTTTGTTGACATTCGCACCACGTGCGTTGTCTCACTATGCTAAATGGAGGTCGTCTTTGAGCACATTTCCTCCCTGTCAGTTCCCCTCCCAGCATGCCTCTCGCGGAAGCGAAACTGGGTCAAGTGACAGGTGAGTGTTATGGCGTCTGTTCAATTTTTTTCCATGATACGATCGCTATATTTTGTGTGTGCTTGGACAGAATTCCCTCCTCCCTGGCCTCCGGTCTTTGGGAGTCTGTGTTTATGCATAATATGTACCCCAAGGACGATCTCTATGAAGAAGAATTAACCAAACCTGAAGAGGTTTTCAATTCTTCGAAGAGAGTCGTCCTTGGGGTAGGGCTCCCGCCTCCCCGCAATTCTGTTCACTGATATATTCAGCAGAAGGAATGATGATACGGGTCTAGGAGCCTACCCAGTTGGTGCGCATGCGCAACGGGAGGTAACTCCGTGAGGTAGGGGCCGTATAATAAATAAAAGAGTTTATTTATTGTTCAATCTTTTTATTCAAAAAACATTGATACAACTGTCACAGGACATTTTTCAGCCGGAAAATGCATAATATGTACCCCAAGGACGACTCTCTTCGAAGAATTGAAAACCTCTTCAGGTTTGGTTAAATTTTAAACGACGATAAACCCAATTTCACCTCACCTCACCTAGAAACCGGTCCTTTGATTCTGTCGAACAAGTGTTAGTTACCCGTGTAATTGATTGGGTTTGTGTCTGATCGATATCCGTGGAAGGTATCGATATCCGTGAAAGGTATCGATATCCGTGAAAGGTATCGATATCCGTGAAAGGCTTGCCGGGGTTTCTCACGAGTACAGAAAGTCATGTTTTAGATACAGTTTGACTGTGCCTATTACGTTCCTACAACGAGTGCCCCCAATGGGCGTACCTTTATGTACCTGGTGGCAGGTAATTCTCCAAATGAGGACATGAACACCTTACGTAATTTCTTCGATGCTCATGCTGTTGATCACTGGATTGTCTGGTCCGCACTCGATTATTTACAGACCGCCGCCATATAGCAGGAATATTGCTGAGTGCGGCGTAAAACCAAACTCACCCACTCACATTAATACATGTTGGGAGATAAAGTGGCCAATATACCAAGCAAGATCGCCAATAAAGGAAACGCGGGCTTCCCATTCCATCCTTATTGGAGAGATATGTTGTGTAATGGAGGTAATTTTAAGTTAAAGGGTATTATGGTCGCTAGATATCGATTATAAAGCGCATGCAATCTGACGTCGATGGTCTGCGGCGTAAAGCTAAACTCACTCACTACGTAATTTCTACACGGAAACAATACGTTGACATGGAAATATATACGTTAACGAATTCGAAATTTCATTAAATAATCTGTTATATTGGGTCTACAACTTAATTGCAATCACAGAACACAATTCAGTGACAGTATATTGCTATTACTGTTATATTACAAAGTCGGTTATACTATAATTCTTTCTGTAAAACGGTGGTCAGGTGTCAAATTAGGTCGAGGTGGGATATCTCGGTCGAAGAATCTGTAAAATCCCCTCGTCTATATTTTTGCGAGATCACGGATATAGGCTTGGCCTTTTGTCGTAAAGACAGCATATCCTCCCAGAATTGAGTTAACTTGGAAGATTCTATACTCTAGTTAACCCCCAAAACATGTGAATACGTTCTTGCATACAGTAACCCGTGAAGATCCGGGTTAGAATTGGTCTTCAGTAACTCGTGCTTGTCGTAAGAGGCGACGTGACTTGGTTGACATGCCATTGTATCCAAGCTTCCTAGATCGATCAGGCTGTTACTCGAGTCCATACTGCCGCCATGTAAGCCGTGTGACGTTAAACGACAAATATAAGATAGTCTAAATAATTACAAATGTATTACTGTGTTAGATTCTACTGAATCGAATCGTCATAGAATCGGTGTAACAATTTCAAACTTTCACTAATTTAATGTACTGCTGTAAGACTGCTCATAATGGTTGGTCTGGATATGGAGAGAACCGGTTTAATTGACATTTACTTCTGTTGCGCATTTGGGGCGGTGGGGTAGATTGATAGTTAAAGCGTCCGCTCGTCACGCTGAAGACCAGAGTTCTATTCCCCACATGGGCACAATGTGTAAAGTCCATTTCTGGTGTCCCCCGTCGTGATATTGGTAGAATATTGCTAAAAGCGGTGTAAAATCATACTCACTCACTGAACATTTCCGTTCCAGCCGTCGTGTTTTGCGAAGGCATCGGGGCGCAGACGCCGAGATCAGCCAGGTATTTGTCAACAGTTCAATGAGAAAGTATTGACGTTTTTTAATGAATAAGTTTTCCAAGTAGAAACGAGTCCATGGGAATGTTTCCACTAGTGGAACTGAGCACAAAGGCGCAATGTCGCTATAGTAACCGATCCTTGTAATGCTATTGGATAAGAAGCCGGACCGGCGAAAGAGGAAATTGTATAAGATTAAATGAACATGTTTTCTCCTCTGCCCGTTAATTCTAGAAACTGTAGTTGCTGGGGTTTCAGTTTTCCTAGCATATTTGTCCATGATGGCAGAACAAACCTTCCCAGTCAGCATAAGCCCGTAGAACTAGCACCTAGTGTACCTGAGGCATCTCGGGACATCTACGTTCCCAGATCATATTTAACGTTAACCTTATTACATTACTCCTGTTCAAAGAATTGTTTATTTGTTTCAGGTGAGAGTACTGGGACATTTCTGTATGGTTCGAAGGGCCATATCGCGAACGCAGTGACGTTGACTAGTGATCCTGTTAACGTCCAGAAGATAATGGCCCCAGTTCAACTACTCAAAGCTCACCGGTCACGTGTTCGACACAACCTGTAAACTGTACCTAATTGGTGGTTGGGTTAATAAAATTATAGAAAAACACTTACACAAGAAGTCTCTGCTCTATATTTGACCATATACTATAATATTCCGCCGAGTCTGCTGTAAGCCGTTTAGCTTCAACTACCCGTGAAGGTCCGGTTATAACTCGTCTTCAGTAACCCATGCTTGTAAGAGGCGACTAACGGGACCGGGTGGTCAGGCTCGCTGACAGGGTTGACACATGTCTTCGTATCCCAATTGCGCAGATCGATGTTGATCCCTGGATTGTCTGGTCGAGACTCGATTATTTACAGACCATCACCATATAGCTGGCATATTGCTGAGTGTGGCGTAAAACTAAACTCGCTCACTCGCCTTCGTCAAGTCTCCTTTCTGGCAACAAATAGGAAACGACCCATCGATTTCAAGCGGACAACAGTGTGTACGCAGACCGTCCGTTTATAAAGACTTGTCGGAGGAAACCACTATTGGTACGTGTGAACTTTATGACTAGATTAAGTGTTAACTAAAAATCGATAAAAAGGACCACCAATCAGAATGGCTGTCAACACTATTTACATTATCAGGACAAAAGCAGCATATAATATACTACTCACACTTTGCTAAGGATCACCAAAATTCCCAACTTAATTACTTAAACAGATTTATAATTTGAAATTGTATCCATGTAACACTAGATAAATAATGAAATGGTAACCCCTCTTTAGGCAAACAGACCTTTAATCTAACCTTATGCACTTGATATTAGTAACCATAAAAAATGGTTTTCATGGCACAAAATCAACCGTTTTTGCAAATCATGGAACGAGTCATTGACAAGTACAAAACACCTTTTTGAATAGCAGGTATAGGATCCACAAGATGAAATGACATACTGAAACCTAGGATCCATGCTTACAATAAGCTTAGATATTTAAACCAAATTAGACCCCACAACATGGTTTTCTGTTGAATCACTGGTTTGATCCTTAGCAAGTGTAAATAGTATATATAATGGCATTTGTAGTGGCCGAGGACAACACCGGCCGCGCAAATATTGGCGAGTCTAAGTTTATTGCCCTTAAACCTAAAATCTTGCATATTGGCGCCCCAGTTTCGTAATTTATGCACCCAAACAAGGCAATATTAACATTGGCGCCCTACATCTGGATAGCACAGTATGCACGATATACAATATACGTTATGAATAAGCTCTGCTGTGCACAGACAGCGTATTGGTGTGGTACAAACCACAGGAAAATATCTTACTGCATGCATTTCACCAGATGTTTTCAACCATATCGGGCGAATGGGTTTCTTTATTTACTCAAAATACATTTTCCGAAGCTACAACTTTGAATGAAAATGCCATTAATTCAGATTTTAAGGAACCTTTGAATGGAAGTATTTCGAATGTCAATTTTGATATCCCTCTGCAAGGAGACAAATCATGTAGATACAGTTGAGATTAGTTCTTCGGATGAGGAATTGCTGCGTGAGAGTCGCAAAACCCAGAACCGGCATTTGACCAAATGAATAGTACAGCAGATGATGACCTGATGCTTGTTTCTCGGCAGATAGAAAATGAGAATGATCAAACAACTACCAAACGTTTTGAAAACCCCCGTTTGTGATGATCAAACAACTACCAAACGTTTTGAAAACCCCCGTTTCTGATGATCAAACGTGGAAAAACTTGCAAAAAATGAAAACACAGAAGAAAGCAAGTGGACAGTGCGGATTTTCGATTCATGGCAACATGAAAGGAATGGGTTTAAATCCCAGTTAGGCAGCAAATTATCTAAAGGTAATGTTAATAACTCGCCATTCCTGAAAAATGGCGCCGAGGCCCACTATTAAGGAACGGAGAGTTGCAAGGATATTACCCTTCATAAATTACAAAGTATTGGTAATTAAATGTCTGAAACTATCAAAGTCTTACGTTTGAAACTGGTACACATCGCCCCATTCCTGAAAAGTATTGGAGCAAGCAGACCATGGAATAACGTCACAAATAATATTTAATAAGATATTCTGAAGATCTGAATAGAGCGCTGAGTCGTGTTTTACGCAATATTCCGATATTAAGGTACCTTTTTAATTGTTGAACCGATAATAGCTCAAATAATCAGGGCTGCGCAAAACATTTGTTAAACATTCTAACATTAAATCCTATAGATTTTGCTATTCCAACAAAGTCTTCATCCTACAGAGACGGGAGCAAACTACTTGAAATACACTTATCTCAATATCAAAAGTTGTTTGGAGAGATTTATCCGAATCGTGGCCAACTATGCAATTTTTACAAGTAAATGATATTGACACTGAAACTCCACAGCAATATATGTGGTCAAACGACAATGTCACCTTAGGTCAAAAGCCTATTTATAAACTGTACTTGAAGGGAAAGACCGCCTCCGTGGTGTAGTGGTTAGAGCGTCCGCCCAGAGAGCGGAAGGTCGCGGGTTCGATCCCCGACCGCGTCATACCAAAAGACGTTAAAATATGGTACTTGTTGGTCCCTGCCTGGCGCTCGGCATTAATGGGTACAACAAGGACTGGTTGGCTCGGAGTCAGCATAATGTGTCTGAATGGGGTATTCATGCTTCACTGCGGCATGGTATCTCCGTGGGCTAGCACTATTAAACCAGCTTAAGTCCGGGCTAGTACAAGCAGCCGCATATACACATACACACGCATGCACGTCGTCATATGAGCGAAATATTCTCAAGCACGACGTTAAACCCAATTTCACCTCACCTTGAAGGGAAATGTTAAATTCATTAATGGTCTACTGAAAAAAGAGTAATTTTCTTACCTATGAGGAGTTAATTTCCTTATACAATATAAAGACTCTTAGAACATAGGAGTATCAACTTAATCAAATCATACCTACTTTACTCTGTGAAAAGCAGAGGAGCCATTTATTCCTAATAATATACATATTATTCTTTACAAAGAACATAAAGGATACAAGATTTTCTACTGTCCTGTACAGGAAGCATACATGACAAGAAAAGCTAAATAGTCAACTCGAGGGATATCAAAGTAGATATATCAGAACAACTCTGGAAAGTTTTTAACTTTGTAACTTTCAGAAAACTTGTAATACATGGTTAAGATGGCTTCAATATAAAATTGTCCAAAGAATCATTACAACAAACAAGGATTTATTTAAACATAAACTGATACAATCCGCTTCTTGTACATTTTGTAATATTACAATCGAATCAATTATCCACATATTTTTTGAGTGTGTACGTGTGAAAAACGTGGCAACAACTAAAAGCCTGGATTGAAGGAACCGGTACAAGATTAATTCTCAATGCAAAACGTATATCTTTGGATATAAAGAAATACGATATGATGTATTAAACCTGATTATCATCGCAGCAAAATACTATATATATGCAAAGTGATGTTCTAATTCACATCCACAGTTTGTTGGATTAAAAGATTACCTACACATCCTGTACAAAATTGACATTGACTGCCTTTTCACACTGTAACTACAATAAATTCTTCACCTTTTGGTCATCTGCCACAACCTCTTCACACAAATTACAATAACAATGTGTTCTTCTGGCCTTGTATCACCCTACGGATTATTTACCACCCGTGTCCGTATTTTGTGTATTTACATGTACCACAAACGCAACAATTATGTACCCATCATAAAGAAATAAACCGCCTCCGTGGTGTAGTGGTTAGAGCGTCCACCCAGAGAGCGGAAGGTCGCGGGTTCGATCCCCGACCGCGTCATACCAAAAGACGTTAAAATATGGTACTTGTTGGTCCCTGCCTGGCGCTCGGCATTAATGGGTACAACAAGGACTGGTCGGCTCGGAGTCAGTATAATGTGTCTGAGTGGGGTATTCATGCTTCACTGCGGCATGGTATCTCAGTGGGCTAGCACTATAATGCCAGCTTCAGTCTGGGCTAGTACAAGCAGCCGCACATACACATACACACGCATGCACCTCGTCATATGAGCGAAATATTCTCAAGCACGACGTTAAACCCAATTTCATCTCACCTCATAAAGAAATAAAGTGATTTTAAAAAGTCTGTTCAAAATCTAAAACTGTACACTTCAGTTGTGGAACGCGGCTGTGCTAGAGTGATATTTGATATGTAATAAATTGATGAAAACATTTTGAGTTTTTGTTTCTGTTATGGGGGTATTACTGTTTGGATTCAGCGTTAGGACCGGGTCAGTAATAGGGCGCCAGTATTTGAAAGTGAGGCGCCAATACAGGAGATAAAGTGGCCAATATACCAAGCTAGGTCGCCAATAAACGAAAGACACGAGCTTCCCATTCCATCCTTATTGGAGGGATATGTTGCGTAATGGAGGCAATTTTAAGTCTAAAGGATATTATGGTCGCTAGATATCGATTATGAAGCACACACAATCTGACGGCGATGTTTCCAACATGCATTAATAGGAGTGAGTGAGTTTAGTTTTACGCCGCACTCAGCGATATTCCAGCTATATGGCGGCGGTCTGTAATTACCGGTAATCAAGTCTGGACCAGACAATCCAGTGATCAACAGCATGAACATCGATCTACGCAATTGGGAACCGATGACATGTGTCAACCAAGTCAGCGAACCTGACCACCCGATCCCGCTAGTCGTCTCTTACGACAAGCATGGGTTACTGAAGATCAATTCTAACCCGGATCTTCACGGGTTGTATCAATAGGAGTAGCCATACCGTGAACAATACAGAATTGCGCGATGAGACTTTGCGATACTTGGTTCATATACATGACCGCCCAGTTATGTTTATCCACGTTTGTCAACTCCAGCGTTGTCTTAAACCAGTATCCAAGCAACTTTGACCTTTTTCTTTATCTTTTTTTTTCTTTGTAATGGAGGCCATAGGCCCAGGCTACACTTCAGGATTTCAGAGCGGTACATATGTGCATATATAGTTCAGAAGACAATAAGTTAATTTACAAAGTATGCAAAAGGAAATATGATATTATTGGCATAGAAGTGAATCTCTAAGTTTCATTGCATTGTGTATATAAATAGCTAGGTTTTTTACAGTATATG